CGCGCCATAAAGGTCGACGTGACGAGGGACCACCTACTCGACGCCCTCCCGCACTATAGCTGGTTTGGCTGCGTTGGTTCTGGGAGTTCAATTTCGGGGACCCTAGTCCCCAAAGGGTCCCGCTGTACTCGCGAGCATATCTCAGGACTCATCGGTGGACCCCATGTCAAGGGGCCAATTGCGCATCCAACCGGACAGCGGCGGACGATGAACACGGCGCCGACATGCACGAGGGAGCGCATCGCGACACGGAGTTCAACCAGAAGGAGGCCCATATCAAGATTGGTTTCTACGGTGCCAACTTGGCAGCACTGGCATCCATCTGGAGCAAGCAGGGCTCATTCGACTTGAAGCCAGGACCTTCGACCGGCGAGAACGCCTACGGCATTGTCTGTGCAAGGACACTTCTCCGCACCTCTTGCGCCCGCTACCTGGCGCATGTGTTCTGACGTCAGCCCTGAGATGAAGCTGCACTCTTGCATGTTCGAGCTGCAGGTGGATCCCAATCGTTGCGCAGGCTATCCCAAGATGCATGTCCACTGGCAGTGGTGCCAGACCGGAGGCAGCGCCTACGTCAATGCGCTCTTGATTCGCACTACGACGATGAGGAGGGTCCGGAACAAGGCACAGGCGAAACAACAAGTCTTTGGATGGTACAGGCTATGGAATCGCACGGTCAGGATCTACCTCGCGGCAAAAGCCATCCCGAGAGTGTTTCCGAGTGTCCACGCGTGCCCAGACGAGACGATCGAGGACTCCGACTTCCCGATTCTCGACGTCAGGCTGGTTCCCAAGCACGAGAGATGGTTCTTCAGTGGACCAAGGAGCTCAGTGCAGCAAACCGTTTCCTAGAGCGCACCGGCAAACAGTACGACCCACGCGGAGTCGAGCCACAGAGTTCCATGGATCAGATGGTGCAGGCTACGGACGCAGAGAAGTCGAAAGACCTTATCATGACCACGGGTCGGACAATCTCTTCAAGGATCTTTCTTGGAGATACTCTCAAGGCCTACGTGTTCGTAGAGTTGTGCGGGCTGCGTGTCACTACGGCTCCTAGTAGTACGTGGAATGGCTACGATATCTGTTGTGACGGCATCTGTTGTGAGAGGATTTGCACGTTCTGAGGCGAGGCGGCGTTTCGGCTGCAAGGAAGGTAGGAGCTGTGGTTGTCCGGCCCGTGTCAGCCTCTCTTCCTCCTGCGCCTCTCTCCGCATTCGCTTGTGCGCCAACGTTGGGTCACAAGGGCCCTTGAGTTATCATGGCGCGCCGGTGACGGAAGCGCCTGCGCCTCCGTAGAAGGGAAGAGAACGTGCTCTCTTCTAGCACGGGTCCCCTTAATTTTGCTGTGTGTCTTCCTGAATCCATACAGTCACTCCCGTACAATCCACATCCAATTCCTCCTGCTCCTCCTCCTCCTCCTCCTCCTCCTCCTCCTCCCCCTCCTCCTCCTCCCCCTCCTTCTCCTCCCCCTCCTCCTCCCCCTCCTCCTCCTCCTTCTCCTCAAGTTTTCATCCTCTCTCGTCCTGCTCCTTCTCCTCCTCTTCCTCCTCCTCCTCTTCGCCCCCCTCCTCCCGCCCCCCGCGGGGCGCCCTGTGGACGGGCAGACCTTCGCGACCGAGGCGCGGCGCGTGGCGGCGGGCGGGCGCGGCGGCTACTGCTTCACCGTGGTGGGGGCGTTCGCGGCGCTGCTGCGGACGGCGGCGAGCAACAGGGTGGGGAAACGGAAGGGAGGGCTCGGGAGGGGCCGTTCCTCGGCCTCTCCTCGACGCGCTCGCGGAGGAGGAGGAGGAGGAGGAGGAGGAGGAGGAGGAGGAGGAGGAGAGGACGAGGAGGAGGAGGAGGAGGAGGAGGAGGAGGAGGAGGAGGAGGAGGAGGAGAAAGAGGAGGAGGAAGGGGGAGGGGGAGGAGGAGGGGGAGGAGGAGGGGGAGAAGGAGGAGGGGGAGGAGTAGGAGGAGGAGGAGGAGGAGGAGGAGGAGGAGGAGGAGGAGGAGGAGGAGGAGGACGAGGAGGAGGAGGAGGAGGAGGAGGAGGAGGAGGAGGAGGAGGACGAGGACGAGGAGGAGGAGGAGGAGGCCGTTGGCCCGTAGACCCGTGATAGCAGGGCTGGACTTCGAGCTACGGAACATCTTTGGCACGTGCGCATTTTGCTCGTGGGCCTCCGGGGGGAGGGCGCGCGCGCGCGACAGGCAGGTGCCGCGCTCAAGAAAAATAAGGGAGTGTGGAAGCGGGGAGCCGGGGAACAAATAGTGACATCAGCTTTGAATTTCGGAGAGCCGCGCGGATCGCTTGAATCGGCACTGGACCCCTCTTGATTGGCGCGCGGAGTGCGCCAGGGGCGAGGCTGGAGGCGCCGCCAGGGGGCTGGTCCGAGAAATCCGCGCGGACCTCCAGAAGTTGATGTGCATGTCATTGTTTGTTCTCCGAGGGAGCTGGCCCCGACAGCCGGGGTGCCATGCTGCGTCACTTCGGCCGGTGGCAGGTAGCTCGGCAGTCTCTGGGCGATGGTGCCTCGCTCCCCCCGGCAGCGCCGCACACCCACAGGCTCCTGCAGCATCCTGCTGCCGCGAGCTGATCGCAGCCCTGCCCTCTCGCGGGCTTGGGCCGTCCTGCATCCGCAGGCCCTGCCCCTGCAGCATGAGCCTGTCGCCCTGGGCCTCCGGGCGCACCCCTGGCTGCCGCCCGCCAGTGTGGGGGCTCGCTCGCCGCTCCTGCTCCAGTGCTGGCACGACTTGGTCTCCGCCTCCTTCGCTGCAGCTCGGGGCCCAAGCCCTGGGTGTGGCCGCGATGCCGCCCCGCGTCCACTGCCGGGCCGCCCCGGCCACTCCAGCCGAAGTTCTTCGTGCTGTGAAGGGTACGGGGAGGGGTGGAGGAGGGAGCAGGACGAGGAGGAGGGAGGAGAGTAGGCAGGAGGGAGGAGGGAGGAGGAAGGAGAGAGGAGGCCAGGAGGGAGGAGGGAGGAGGAAGGAGAGAGGAGGCCGGAGGAGGAGGAGGAGGAGGAGGAGGAGGAGGAGGAGGAGGAGGAGGAGGAGGAGGAGGAGGATGGAGGATGGAGGATGGAGGATGGAGGATGGAGGATGGAGGATGGAGGATGGAGGATGGAGGATGGGATGGAGGAGGCGGACTGTCGCCTGGTGCTCGCCGCCTGTCAGGAGCCTTGAGTTCAGGGTATCCCTACACGCGGCTGCCTGTGGTCCCGACCCCAACCGGGAGGCCACCATCACACGTACTTATGTGATTGTCTTCCCCAGGGTACGATTCTCAAGAGACCGCAAACATGGATCAAGGGGGCGTGGATGAGCGGCGGGGCCCGTTTCCATGGGACATCGCGGGCTTCCGCTGCCGAACGAGGCGGCACCGGCCGCATTTTGGGGAGGGCACCTCCCCCGATCCATGGACTTGGCGACCGCGCGCCAAATCCATGGATCGTGAATCAATGTTTGCGCGCCCCCGAGATTCGTTCCGATCCAGCCGACTCGACCTCGGTCGCGCCCGGCCCGCCCCGATCCGATGCAGAGCCTCCGAGGAGCCGACGTGCGACCTAATGCTTGCATGGGGCTGTTGTGCCTCCTGGCGCGGCCGATCCAAGTCGATTTCGACCTTGTGCCGATGCGGCCCGTTTCGATGCACATTCCGATCTGGTCCGATCTTCCCAGTTCGATGCCGACAGGTCCTGCCGCCCTCCTGGCGAAGGCGGAGCAACGAAAAGGGGATGGACACCGTGAAGGACCAACGGAGCCGTGAGGGCCCGGAGTTTTCCGCCATCTGCGGCCTCGTGGGGCCTGTGGGGGGGGCCCAGGGACCGTCAGAGAGCGATTCAGGAGGAAGGACGGGTCCCAGGGAAAGCCCAACGGGTGGCGAATGAACGGGGGGGGCAGCGAGGGCTGCAGAAAGGGGCCAAGCTCCTGAAGGAGCCCTTTCGGGCCCAGAAGGGGCCCTATCGGGCCCGAAAAAGGCACCTTCCTCCCACCCCCCCACTTATCGCCCCCCATGAATTCGCGCCCAAGAGTCCCAGGACCCGTGGTGGATGAAGGTCGGTGATCTTCGGGACATGTGTCAGCCCAGTGTGTGTGTGTATGTGTGTGTGTGCGTGTCTGCGTGTCTGCGTGTCTGCGTGTCTGCGTGTCTGCGTGTCTGCGTGTCTGCGTGTCTGTGTCTGTGTGTGTGTGTCTGTGTGTGTATGTCTGTGTCTGTGTCTGTGTGTCTGTGTCTGTGTCTGTGTCTGTGTCTGTGTCTGTGTCTGTGTCTGTGTCTGTGTCTGTCTGTGTCTGTGTCTGTGTCTGTGTCTGTGTCTGAGTGTGTGTGTCTGTGTGTGTGTGTGTCTGTGTCTGTGTCTGTGTCTGAGTGTGTGTGTCTGTGTGTGTGTGTGTCTGTGTGTGCCTGTGTGTGTCTGTGTGTGTGTCTTGTGTGTCTGTGTGTGTGTCTGTGTGTGTGTCTGTGTGTGTCTGTGTGTGTCTGTGTGTGTCTGTGTGTGTCTGTGTGTCTGTGTGTCTGTGTGCCTGTGTGCAAATGTGCCTGTGTGCCTGTGTGTCTGTGTGTCTGTGTGTCTGTGTGTCTGTGTGTCTGTGTGTCTGTGTGTCTGTGTGTCTGTGTGCCTGTGTGCCTGTGTGCCTGTGTGCCTGTGTGTCTGTGTGTCTGTGTGTGTGTGTGTCTGTGTGTGTCTGTGTCTTTGTGTCTCTGTGTCTCTGTGTCTCTGTGTCTCTGTGTGTCTCTGTGTGTCTCTGTGTCTCTCTGTGTCTCTCTGTGTCTCTCTGTGTCTCTCTGTGTCTCTCTGTGTCTCTCTGTGTGTCTGTGTCTCTGTGTCTCGTGTCTCTGTGTCTCTGTGTCTCTGTGTGTCTGTGGCTCTGTGTCTCTGTGTCTCGGTGTCTCTGTGTCTCTGTGTCTCTGTGTGTGTGTCTGTGTGTCTGTGTCGTCTGTGTCGTCTGTGTCGTCTGTGTGTCTATGTGTCTGTATGTCTGTCTGTGTGTGTGTCTGTGTGTCTGTGTGTCTGTGTGTCTGTGTGTCTGTGTGTCTGTGTGTCTGTGTGTCTGTGTGTCTGTGTGTGTGTCCTTGCCCCGTGCAGCTCCGCCGGCAGCACGCGGCCTGTGCTGGCCCTCGCCAGCTGCGCCGCCTGCGCCGCGCTGGAGGGCTTCGGTGGGCAAGCACACGCTGGCGTCAACACGTGGGCGACGAAAGAAAGCGGGACCTTCTGCGCCGACATCGGCGCGTAAGTTGCCCGCGTCAGGTCGCGCGCAAGGGCACCCGTCCCCACTGTGGCGTGCCACGATGGCGGCCCGCGTGAGCCACCGCGCAAGGTCGCTGCGTGGGCTCCGCGCGAGACCCTTTTTGATCGTCGCCCACATGTTCTGAGGCTCTCCGAGCAGGGGATGGGGATTGGGAGAAGAAGCGCACTGGTATGCAGAATGGTGGCCTCCCACCCGTGCCGGCAGAGAAGTGGGGCAACCACGTGGTGCTGCTGGTTCATGTGGACGGTTCCTCATACGTCGCCGACGTGGGCCTCGGTGAGGGCCCCACACAGGTGTTCCCGCTCGAGGAGGGCGCCTGGGAGGATCGCGGGTTCCGATTCATGCTGGAGCGTCGTCCAGAGGGCTGCTGGCGGTGGCAGAACGATGCCGTGCACAGCGGCCTCCCTGGCATGCACTTCGACACCTCGTCCAGTGCCGCCTCCTGCAGCGAGTTCTGGGACTACCACGAGTGGTACTGGACCGACGAGAGCTCCCCCTACGTCCGCTCAGGGGTGGTCATCCACCGCCACTCGCCGCGCGGACTGCTGTCCCTGCACAGCTGCACGCTGCGCCGAACGCACCCAGATCTGCCTCGAGGGCACGAGGTCGTCGCCACTGTGACCACCCGCGGGGCGTGGTTCGAGCTGCTGGAGGAGGTTTTCAGCATCCCGGCGGCGCGCCGAGGGCGGCAGTGAGGGGGGGCAGGCCTTCTCGAGGAGGAGGAGGAGGAGGAGGAGCTTCTCGGAAGCCCTCCGGTTCCTCTGGGAAGCCTTCGCTGGCTTAGGAGGAGGCCTAGAAAGCTTGGTCAGGAGGCTGGAGGCTATCTCCAGATGTGCAGTGACCTGTTTTGCCAGTGCCACACGGGGTCCCCAGAAGTCCCGACCATGACCAGGGCCGGTGTTTCGTCCCGAGCCGTTGTTGTTGGTGGTCCCGAGGCCCCGCGGGAACCCCCAGGGGTCGAAAACGGGCAGAAATTTCGACTTGTGTTTTTTCACGACGCGAGCATGTCGCGGCCTGAGCCTCAGAGAGCGTTCCAGCACGCTCTGGAACGGCCGCGGCGCCCACAGCATCCTCCAGATCCGCCTGTCCTCAGAGATTCTTAATTGGTCTCATCCTCACCCGACGTTGTCCCCGTCCTGTGCTCCGTCTTCCTGAGCTTGCTGTGACGGCCCGCCCCCTCCGCACTTCCCTGGCGGCACGCACACAGGGGGCACGGGGGAGGGGGGAAGGCTTCTTGGCAGCATGGATGCTCCTAAGAAGCCCTCCCCCCTCCCCCACACAGCCAACCCGCAGAGTAAGGATGGGCAACCTTCCCGAGGGCACCCCTGCATCGCTGCCTCCCGGTTCCATCCTTGGCCACCCACGCCGGCCGCGCCCCGCTCGGGAAGCTCCGAAACGGGCGTCCGAGGCCCTGGCACCCCTGCCGCGCGCCCTTGCGAGACGGGCTGCCTGTGCCCCCCCTCTGCGCGCCGCCGCCCAGTTCCCCCCCCTCTGACGAACCAACAACACACACCCATACCCATAGGGGGATCGGAGAGGGCCATGGGTGCGTGTTGTCGGATGGGGGTCCCTGCTCGAACGGGAGCGTTCCCCAGGGTCCGACAGCCCGCACCCATACCCATAGCCAGTCCTCCTCCCAACGACCCCCCTACGGGTATGGGTGTGTGTTGTTCGTTCCCCCCCCGGGCGCGCCGCCGACGTGCCGCTCGCGGACCTCCGCGACGGCGCCCGGGAGCGGCTCTGGGCGCGCGCCTGGCGGGACCACGCCGCGTGGGCCGAGCGGCAGGGCGCCGGCGCGCGGCAGGGCGGGGCAGAGGGCTCGGAGTCGGCGGGGGGAGCTTGATCCCGAGGCCCAGGCCCCAAAAAAGATGGCGAGTCTCCATCACGATCGATCACCGGGAACAGCAAGAGCCCCTAACCCTCATAACCGAAGAAGAAGAAGAGACAAACAAACAAAAAACAAGTATCCTGGCGAAGGACCCAACCATATGCAATTGTGAGTACCGCAATTGTGAATATCTTCTTCGGTGGCGCTCCCTATGGGGCCACGAAACGTGTGAGGGGTGTGCCGACATGGGTGTCCGGGACGCGTGCGGGCACACCCACTGGGACCTTCGGTGGAGCTCCCTATGGGGCCGCGAAACGTGTGAGGGATGTGCCGAAATGGGTGTGCGGGACGCATGCGGGCACACCCACTGGGACCTTCGGCGGAGCTCCCTATGGGGCCACGAAACGTACGAGGGGTGTGCCGAAATGGGTGTGCGGGACGCATGCGGGCACACCCGCTGGGACCTTCGGTGGAGCCCCCTACGGGGCCACGAAACGTGTGAGGGGTCACGAAACGCGTGAGGGGTGTGCCGAATGGATGTGCGGGACGCATGCGGGCACACCCACTGGGGCCTTCGGCGGAGCTCCCTATGGGGCCACGAAACGTGTGAATGGTATGCCGAAATGGGTGTGCGGGACGCATGCGGGCGGCGGCAGCACTGGGACCTTTGGTGGAGCCCCCTACGAGGCCACGAAACGTGCGAGGGGTGTGCCGAAATGGGTGTGAGGGACGCATGCGGGCACACCCACTGGGGCCTTCGGTGGAGCTCCCTATGGGGCCACGAAACGTGTGAAGGGTATGCCGAAATGGGTGTGCGGGACGCATGCGGGCACACCCACTGGGACCTTCGGCGGAGCTCCCTATGGGGCCACGAAGCGCGTGAGGGGTATGCCGAAATGAGTGTGCGGGACGCATACGGGCGGCAGCACTGGGGCCTTCGGCGGAGCTCCCTACGGGGCCACGAAACGTGTGAGGGGTGTGCCGAACTGGGTGTGCGGGACGCACGCGGGCGGCAGCACTGGAGCCTTCGGCGGAGCTCCTTATGGGGCCACGAAACGTGTGAGGGGTGTGCCGAATTGGGTGTGCGGGACGCATGCGGGCGGCAGCACTGGGGCCTTCGGCGGAGCTCCCTATGGGTCCACGAAACGTATGAGGGGTGTGCCGAAACGGGTGTGCGGGACGCATGCGGGCGGCAGCACTGGGGCCTTCGGTGGAGCTTCCTATGGGTCCACGAAACGTGTGAGGGGTGTGCCGAATTGGGTGTGCGGGACGCATGCGGGCGGCAGCACTGGGGTCTTCGGCGGAGCTCCCTATAGGGACACGAACGTGTGAGGGGTGTCCCGAATTGGGTGTGCGGGACGCATGCGGGCGGCAGCACTGGGGTCTTCGGCGGAGCTCCTTATGGGGCCACGAAACGTGTGAGGGGTGTGCCGAATTGGGTGTGCGGGACGCATGCGGGCGGCAGCACTGGGGCCTTCGGTGGAGCTCCCTATGGGCCGAAACGTGTTTGCCGAACGTGCGCGACGCATGCGGGCGGCAGCTGGGGCCTTCGGCGGAGCTCCCTATGGGGCCACGAAACGTGTGAGGGGTGTGCCGAATTGGGTGTGCGTGACGCATGCGGGCGGCAGCACTGGGGCCTTCGGCGGAGCTCCCTATGGGGCCACGAAACGTGTGAGGGGTGTGCCGAATTGGGTGTGCGTGACGCATGCGGGCGGCAGCACTGGGGCCTTCGGTGGAGCTCCCTATGGGGCCACGAAACGTGTGAGGGGTGTGCCGAATTGGGTGTGCGGGACGCATGCGGGCGGCAGCACTGGGGCCTTCGGCGGGCTCCCTATGGGGCCACGAAACGTGTGAGGGGGTGTCCCGGTGCGGGACGCAAGCACTATGGAGGGGCCACGAAACGTGTGAGGGGTGTGCCGAATTGGGTGTGCGGGACGCATGCGGGCGGCAGCACTGGGGCCTTCGGCGGAGCTCCTTATGGGGACACGAAACGTGTGAGGGGTGTGCCGAATTGGGTGTGCGGGACGCATGCGGGCGGCAGCACTGGGGTCTTCGGCGGAGCTCCCTATGGGGCCACGAAACGTGTGAGGGGTGTGCCGAATTGGGTGTGCGGGACGCATGCGGGCGGCAGCACTGGGGCCGTCGGCGGAGCTCCCTATGGGGCCACGAAACGTGTGAGGGGTGTGCCGACATGGAGGAGGGAGGGGGGAGGAGGGGGCAGAGGAGGAGGAGGGGAGAACGCGGGGACCGTTTCTTCAAAACGAGGACCCAACACCACAGGATGGTTGGGAACAACAACAACAACAACAACAACAACAACAACAACAACAACAAAAACAAAAACGCCATACACATAATTTGTTGGCACTCCGCGCGGAATTCTTGGATCCGCGCCGTGCACCCCCGGCGGCGCCTCCAGCGCCGCCCCTGGCGCGCTCCGCGCGCCAGGGAGGGAGGTCCAGCGCAGATCCAAGAAATCTGCGTGGAGCGACAACAATTTATGTTTAGGGCGTCGTTTCTTCTTCTGAAAGAGTACCTTACCCTAAGAACACGGTGAAGATTTTGGCTGACTTGGGTCTCCGTCTTTGCATTCAGGAGACTAGTTCTGGGCGACTTGGTGGAATACATCTGCTGGAACGACCTCCTACCCCCAATGTCTTGGGGCTCTTAGCTTAGATCCGCTCTCAAAGGGTGACGGGTCTTCGAATTGTTAGCCAATCGATCGTCGGCGATCAGTCGGCGATTTTAAGACTGGTTGATGAAAGGAGCATGTTGCTTTCTGTCGGTGCATGTAGCGCTTTTCTGGCACGGGTTTGGCCGAACAGATAAAAACGTCAATTGGGATCTTGAGGTGAATCTGATGAGCACGGGTATGACTGGAAAGGTTGCATTGAGGTTGGGGGGTGAGGCCGAAGTGGAACGGAGCCGTCTTAAGCAGACAAGAAAGAAACAGCAAACAGCACACAAAGAACGCTACCTAACACGAACAACAAACTTCTCTGGGACGCAGCAGCTCCGACGCGGATCGTCCGCTCCGGCCCCTGCCCGAAAAGCGGTGGCGTCGTCGTCGTCATCGTCATTGTTGTGTTCGTCGTCGTCTTCGTCTTCGCAGCCGTGGGACGCGGCAGCTCCGACGAGGATTTTCCGCCCCAGCCCCCGCCCAGAAGGCGGTGGACTCGAGGGGCCAGCCGGTGGGGTCCGAGGCGGTTGGACCTTACGGCACGCCGAAGTGCGAGTACATATCCGGCCGGCTGGCGCCACTTCTCATTGAGCGCGTTCCATGATTTGCAAAGTGCCTACTCGCAAACGTCCGAAGCAAAAGACGTGTCGTCCTCTATGTAATTGGTCGCGAATCCCCCGCGGCGATTCCAGGCCACTTGCGAGTAGTTATTTTGCGAGTAGTGGAGCGCGCTTGTCCAGCTTCGGGCGCCACCAAGGCCCGTTTCGATCCGCTCGTGCCGGAGGAGGGCCATCGTCGAAACAACGGCAGCCATCCCCGGCGGTTCTCCGACTTTCTGGGGCCTCCTGGGGGCTTCTCTGTGCACATCCACCCGGCTGGCGCCGCTTCCAAGGGCCACCCGGGTCGAGTTTCGATCCGCTCGTGCCGTAGGAGGGCCATCCTCGAGACAGCGGCGGCCCTCCCCCAGCGGTGTTCCGACCTTCTGGGGCCTCCCCTGGGGGGTTCTCTTCGCCCGGCTGGAGCCGCCTCGACAGATGGGCCAGGATGGATCTTGTCGGACGGGGCTAGGACGATGAGAATCGAAGAAGAAAACGGCATAAACCTAAACCAGGTTGGGACCAAGTCGGACGGGGCCAGGACGAGGATAATCGAAGAAACATAAACCTAAACTAGGCAGGGACTAAGTCGAACGGGGCTGGGATGAAGACGGGCATGTCCCTGTACAGGAGGAATGCTCAAGCGGAATCAATGCATAGTCTGCTGACGATTCTCCCTTGATGTTTTGATTATGTTTGAGTATTGTTTCGACTATTTATCATTTTTTTCCGAACTCCGCCTGTAGGAGAACATGCCCGACCTAAGGCTAGGACGAGGAGAAGTCCGTTCCAGAGCATTCCAGAACGTTCTCAGAGCGTTCTGGAACGCTCTGAAAAGGTTGCGGCACTCGAGATATCCTCTAGAGCCGCCAGCTCTCAGAGATTCTCGATTTATCCTTACCCGATGTCATCCACGTCCTGGCCTGGTCTGATCTTGGGAGGGGCCCGGGGACAGATTTTGAGAGGGCGTTGGCCAAGGGCGGCAGCTCCTCCGACGGTCCGATCCGATGTTCCAACGATCTTGTCTGGCCCGATGCTCGCATGACGTCGTTCTGCATCCTGGCGCGGCCGGTCCGACTCTGTCCCGGCTCCGCGCCGACGCGGCCCGATTCGATGCACATGCCGATCGGTCTGGTTTTAAGTCGGCTGTGTTCTCCTACGGGAGGAATGTTCAAGAAGGGATTAAATACATTGTCTGGGGACGATTTGCCGTGGTTTGTTGACTTTTTCGGTTTGTTCCACCTTTGTCCTATGTGTCCTCCAAAATCCGCCCGTGGGAGGGCATGCCCGAGCGAAGTTGGTGACGATTTGTCGTGGTCTGTTGACTTTTTCGGTTTGTTCCACCTTTGTCCTCTTTGTCCTCCAAGACCCGCCCGTGGGAGGGCATGCCCGAGCGAAGTTGGGCTTCCCGATCCGAGGCAGGCTGCACCTGCCCGCTGCCCCAGCCAGGTGCCGGCGTCCTTCGCTCGTGCCCGGCGCCCGCTCGCCGTCACCGCAGGGGGGCATTTTCCCGAGCCGGTCCCGGCCTGCACGGCGCACGTTGGGCGTGGCTTAATGGGGGGTCACAAATGGGGGGGTCAGAAAAGGTTCCCTTTCGTGCCCCTTTCGGGCCCCTCCAGAGCCCCAGGGGGCTCGTTTAGGTACTCCAGATTTCGTAATAAAGGGAGGGGGGTCTCATTTCGGGGGGGGTCTCTTCCAGGCTATCTTGGAGGGCCTGGGGGGGTCTGGGGACGATGTTTTGGAGGGTTCTCCCACGGGGGGGGGTCTGAAATGGCTCGTCTTGGAGGGTCCAGACCCCCTCCCTTTTATTACGAAATCTGGAGTACCGTTTGGGTACCTTTTCGGACCACCCTCGCCACCCCCCCAATTTATGACCCCCCCATTACGCGGCGCCCAAGGCACGGCGCGCGCGGAGGCGGAGGGCCCCGGGAAGATCGGGGGCGGAGGAGAGGGGGGTTGATGACTGCAGTCGGGCCGCTGAAGAAGGAAGCTTTTTCGTTCGGGAGGGGCTCCGTGTCCCTTGGTTGTTTTACGGTGCTCCACGGGTTTTCCTGGGGTGTTCCATGGCCCATCTGAGTTTGACTTATGGGAAAAAGGGGCCTCGTTCCTTATTGATCGTTCCTTAGGTCAGCGCCCCGACTGTAGGGGGGGGGGACCTCATGGCGGGGGCCACGATGTTTCCCCAGATTCCATGGCGCCCCTTCCTATTCCAATGCGTGCCCTGGCCCCCCTGCTGGGCCGCGCACATGAAAAGTGATGGGTCAAAAGAGCCAGAGGTCAGTATAATGATACGTTTCAAGATCTCCAGTATTTCCCAGATTATTTCATGTTCCACACGGGTTGTAGACACAAGGGCCATTAGACAATCCACAATTCTTGGAACGTACCTTGAACCAACCGCATCATGGCAGAATTGTCGTCCTACAAGCTTTGTCAAAAATGAATGCAAACGCCGTTCAAACTCGAAGCACCCGATAGTTCGGGCACTCGTGTCAGAAAGTCGTTCTTCAATGTTGCGCGGGCACTGCCGGATGTCGGACACATTTGCGCGTGTCCAAAACGCTTCATGCCAGCATTGAAGTAGCGCCGATTGCGAAAGCGCCGAAAACTAAAAATATAAATTTATTCAACACGAGTCTTGTAGCTAGGTCACCCCAAGGGGCGAGATGATGACCGTGCTTCGCGAGCGCAGCCTGGGCCAAAACGGTTGCCCTTCTCCAAAGCGGCGGCGCGAGTGTGCGGGTGCGCGAAGATAATCACGCATCGCGAGGCGCGATGCGCGAAGTTCGGTGTCCTACAGGTGGAGGAGGAGCAACAACAGCAATCGTAGAGAGAGAGGAGGAGGAGGAGGAGGAGGAGGGGGAGGAAGGGTAGACAGGAAGTGGAGGACACGCTTCAGCTATCATGCCTGTTGCAACGATCACACTTGTGGTACAAGGTTAGTTCGTTCTGAAGTGGGCTTTGATAGCACTCTGTATCTGTGGTTGCCTGTCAGAGTCCTCTTGGACCAGCGGACTCCAGTTGGTCTGGATCGCAGAGCCCGAGAACGCTGACATGGGCGGCTGCTGGTGCGCTGCACACCCCAGCAGTGGACTCGGCGCGCAGACTTGCGGGAGCCTGCTGCCCTCGCATACGTCGGTCTGGCGCGCACGGGTAAGTATGTACGTAGTTGTGTTGGGACGTGCGTGCACAGATGCGTGCGCGCACTTGCGTTTCTGAGCACGCATGGGTGCGCGGGAGTTTGCGTGCGTATGTACGTGCGCATGAGCATGCGTACATACGCATGAGCGCATGAGCGTGCGTGCGCGAGCGCGAGCGCGCGCGCGGCGCGTTAGCGTGCGTCTGCGTCTGCGTCTGCGTCTGCGTGTGCGCGAGCGGGTGATTGTGTGTGTGGTGTGTGGTGTGTGTCGTGTGTGTCGTGTGTGTCGAGTGTGCGCGTGTGTGTGCGTGTGTCGTGTGTGTGTGTGTGTGTCGTGTGTGTGTGTCTCGTGTGTGTGTGTGTGTTTGTTGTCTGCGTGTGTGGTGGTCGTTCGTTCGTTCGTTCGTAAGGCATGTCGCACGACAGATCGGCTCAGCAAGGGAAAACTGAATGCCTCGCAGGAGAAGCGGCAATCTGAGATTACACCTGAGCGTCTATCGGGCCAATGGAAAAACAATATACGTGTGCGTGTATGGTCTGCGCGTGTGTGTAAGTACGAGCGTGCGTGCGTGCGTAGGGGTGCGTGTGCGTGTGCGTGTAGGTGTGCGTGTGCGTGTGCGTGTAGGTGTGTGTGTGTGTGTGTTGGTGCGTGTGTGTACTTGTGTGTGTGTGCTTGTGTGTGTGGCTGCGTGCGAGCGAGCGAGCGTGCCTGCGTGCGTGCGTGCGTGTGTGTGTGTGTGTGCGTGTGTTGTGCGTCTCTCCGCCTGATCTTCTACACGCGCCGGCGCGCGCGCGTGTCCAAAACGCCGAAAGTAAGTGTGTGTGTGTGCGTCGTTGTGTGTGGTGTCTGGTTTCTGGTCTGTGGTCTGTGGATGTGCGTGTGCTGTGAGTGTGCGCCTGTGCGTGTGCTGTGTAAGTATGGATGTGTGTGAGCGTGCGTGCGTGCGTGCGTGCGCGCGTGTGTGTGTGTGCGTGTGTGCGTGCGTGTGCGTGGGCGTGTGTGTGCGTGTGTGCGTGAATGCGTGTGTTCGTGTGTGCGAGTGTGCGTGTGTGTTTGTTTGCGTGTGTGCGTGAATGCGTGTGTGCGTGTGCGCGCGTTTGTGCGCGTGTTCTTGTGCTTGCGTGCGCGGCGCGCGCGTGTGTGTGTGTGCGTGTGCGTATATATATATATATATATATATATATATATATATATATTCATATATATATATATATATATGTGTGTCTGTGCGTGTGTGTGTGCTTGTGTGTGTGTCATGTCTGTGCGTATGTTTGTGTGTGTGTTCGTGTGTCGTGCCTGTGTGGTGTGTTCGTGTGATGTGTATTTATGTTGTGTCTGTTTGATGTGTCTGTTTGTTGTGTCTGCTGTGTCTGTGGGTGTCTGTGTGTGGTTGCGTCTGTGCGT